ATTTTCATCGAATAGTTAGAATAGTTTTTTTTAAAAAAAATTGTTTTTTATTAAATTGGTTTTTTGATTACACGTTACAGCACAACGTTAGTGTAGTTAATTGGTCGAAATAATTGCTCAGCAATTCGATTATACAACTAATTTTGAATTCGAGTTTTTATTTTCCGGTTATTTTTGTTTCAAACTAACTCCGTAACGTAAATTGCAGGTATTTGCAGGTGAAATTTATATTAACGTTATTGAAGTTTTTGTTGGATATAAAAAAAATAACATACTTAATAATATTATTGTTTAACGCTATTGATTGAACGTACATTGACTGCGTTTAAATATTCGTTTCATACCTTAAAAATAAAACAAAACGTAGTGCAGTCATCTAGCCCAAGTTGACCACTTGACTTGGAGAGAGCTGTAGCCAAACAAATGTTAAGAAATTAAAAATATACTCAGAGGTCACAGGTGAACGATTACTCCCTCCCCTACATTGGCGGAGATCAGGGTGAGGGGGGGGCTCGGGATATAGAATTCCAAGCCCAGTCCACCTGAGTTGTATTATGTAACGAAAATATAATTGATTACAAGAAAAAAAAACTGATAAAATATTCGATTCTCACAGAGAGAATAATCGTCGTCGATAATTGCCCTGTGCGCGCTACTGTTTCTCAACGGTTTGTCGCGTCGTTTAATACCTTTTCATAATGATAATAATAATAATAATAATGATCGGCGTGAGTGGAAAACCCCGCCGAGGGTTTGTTTATAATAGTGTATATCAATAATAATTTTTGATTCCAAAGACGGCGACGACGGCCGGTTATTATTGCATTCACCCATCCATCACGACTTGGTTTTCGATTCGTTCGATAAAACCGTGCATAACAAATCAAAAACCTTCGAGTGTAAAATATGCGGTGGAAAAAACATAAAACAAAAAAAAAATCCGAGACGGGGTTAGCGCTCTCCCACCCCCGTTTGAAACGAAAATCGGTTACCCAGGTTAAACTGGCTTTAACACTCCTGTCATCATCATCATCATCATCATTGCCAGAGACACAAGAGTCATATTTATTGATGCATATAGCAGCTCCCGCTCCTGCCAACTGACAAACTTACACCGATGTGTACTATTAAATAATAATAATAATAATAATAATACAGACTACACTCTACGGTAGAGTACGGTGTGATCGATTCCAACTCTGGCCGAGAGCACGTCTATTCATCCGAGACGCCGACGCTTTATGCTTTAATTCGAATACTTCCGGTCCGCGTACACTCCTTATGTTTTCACAGACACACACCAAAACGCGATATGCTTTTTCCTGTTCGGTTCGATGATGATAATAACAATAATATAATAACACAATAACGACGAGAGATTGACATTAGACACCGGCGGTCGAATTAGTCCGTTACGAAAACAAAACAAAAAAATATATACAAACGACAATATCGTTTCAATACCGGCGGCGTTCGTCGAATCCGGTCTACCGTTGTTTCTTTATGTTCTTCGTATTGTCAACGGTGCTATCTGACGGTGACGGGCCCGTCTTGAGTGCCAAAATATCCACAGTCGTTGGTTTTAGCGTGGAATATAACATGCTTTTGCGATTGACACCAATTGTGCCAAAAAGCAAAAGGAAATCCAAAAAGTAGCCTAGGTTAGATCAGATTCCGTCTAGGTAGGGTTAGATTAAGATTTTATAGGCAAAGTTAGATTAGATTCTGGTTGAATATGCAAGATTAGAATAGATTCTGATTGAATTTGTAAGGTAAGATCAGATTCTGATCAGACAAGTAAGGGTATGTCAGATTCTAATTGAATTTGTAAAGTTAGATCAGATTTTGATCAGATAGGTAAAGTTATATTGAATTCTGATTAGAAAAGTAAAGTTAGGTTAAATTGAGGTTAAATTTGAATGAGTCAGGTTTTAGCTATTGAACTATTGACACCTATCAATCGATAAACCCTAGGATAAGTAAATGATAGACTACAAAGGAGACGAATGCAGGGAGTTTTCACAGCAATTAAGATCTACAAGATCTACAGCGCTGCACTACAACTCTGATCGATTTGCCTGTCTACCGCCATAGAAGTGCCATCTTCACTCTTGTAGGACTTACCTTCAAGTCTCATTGCGATTCTGTTGTCACATAAGACGCCTGACGCTTCTCTTCGCATCCTCTCGCCGGAGCCACTGTTTATTATCAACAATATTGGGTATAGCGGATTATTAATAAACAAAAAACTGTGAAACCCCGGGCCACCCAACTGAGTCCGGATAGGTAGGTTCTCATCAATCTACACACCGGCTTCATACGATAGGTACACCTGTGTATGTGTGTGTGTTTTTTTTTTGTTATGCCGTCCGGACCGACAGCAGTCGGTGCACAGTACAACAATAATAAATCGATCAAAATTCTTCTGGGAACACGGACGGGGCAAAAAAATATGAAAAGAATGAGATCTAAAAATGTACGAAAATAAAATTGAAAAAAAAATAACCGGTTGGAAAATGTCAACGAAAAAAGTACGTTAATAGATTTTTAGTCTTTGGTGGTATGACGCGAACCAGTTTTTTTTTGTTTCCTCCGTCGGTCACGTCATGTTTTCGCCGCCGCCAACACGATGACGGCCAGTATAAGTATGTTTCTTCGAAAAATTCACCGTAGGCACATCATCTTGAAAATTCCACAAGGGCGGTCACATCGGCATACACAGCTAATGCGACTGCCATAGCACACCGATCGAGAAATTAATAGCTACTGCCGTCGTCAACGTCCGATGCAAGTATGTTGACGTGCACAGCTCATGTCGGTGTTGATCAAAAACCTAACCTAACCTAACGGGTTAATTATTTAAACCTAAAGTGATAAATCACTTTCCAATAAAACGTTATCCGAATAATCATCCTGATAACACATCATTCAAGTCGTATTTACTCGAATACAAACCTGTCTTCCTATATTTTTACTGGTTTTATATATTTTACAAAACATGTAGAATATATTAGATATTTATACGAAACAATACTTGCAAATATAATTACTAGAAAAAAGCACTTACAAACTATTTAAATAGTATTTTTAACAATTATTATTCCAGTAACTGTTTATTCGAATAATTTCAAATTTGAAATTATTCGAATAACTTTTACTTGAATTTCGTTGAAAACGTGTTGTCTAGATAATTATTTAGATTTATTCGAATGACGCACAACTCTGAATTTTTTTTTTATTAGTATTAGGGTGAATACGAGGGTAGGGTTGACTTTGAGTGTATAACTAATAACTTCTTGCCATTGTTTCCCATACATTTATGCCATACCTAAAACAATAATATAACGTGTTGACCAGATTGTTTCACTCAAACATAACAGCAGCCTTTGCTAATGACAATTTGTAATTTTCCCTTTTTTTTTGGGGGGGAAAGGGGGGTTTCCATAAAAAAGTCAGGTTATACGTTATGTAGATCCACGCTAGATCGCCGGCGATTACGTTCGGTCGGGACACGCTTTAAATTTGTCCGTACGCAATATTCGGATATAATTAAAAAGGGAACGACTGCGAGGTTCGTGGGGCGATACACGATTGTTCTAAATAGAACGACACGGGTAATTATACTCGGTTTATAACATGTTGCGGACACGAGTGGTCCAGGGGTCGGGTATGATGATGATGATATAATCCTATTAAAAAAAAAAAAAAAAAAAATACCAACTTTTAGGGTTTACACAGAGTTTTATTTACCGTGGAAACCCGCGATGGCTAAAATTAGCGACGATAACGGATTGTCCGGGCAAACGAAAATAATATATTATAATTTTTGGAGACAAAAAAAAAAATGAACAACGATGATAATAACGACATTAATTTGTAAGTACCGCGTTTAATCGTCGTCTCAGCTACACGAGGAGATCTGGGTATATTAATGACGTCTAGACGATCCGTCACGGGGATTGAACGGACCCGAATGGATTTATATTTTCATCCTAATTAACCCGTGTAATAATATCAACACACACACACGTGTACCCGATATTATATTGTTATTTTATTTTTTTATTTTACCGTTTTGTACGGACAAACGCACACGCCGTCGTCGTTGAGTTTCTTTTGATCGATGGCAAACGCTTTAGGCGAGAATCACATAGAGATATTTGTCTATCACTAGACAAATATCGCATACGTTCGACACGAAAGTGATCTGTATCTGGATTTTCCGTTATCTATTAATAACCGACCAATCGTTGAGTTGCGTTGTTGCACGCTTGTCATCGATGACCGAAATGCAACGTCAACGATGGACGAACTGGACGACTGTTCGACCACATCGCTAAATTAATTACGTTTATATAATATATATATATATATGTTTGTTTGTTCTCTCGTTTGGATTTACCGTTCCGCGACGAGAAAGTAGGTTGCAACGACCGTTTTGCTTTATGGAGTCTTCTTATCAAATGCACAACAACAATAATTATAAATTGCGAATGGAAAAAAAACCGTCCGTTCCATTTTTGATCCGCGATAAGATCACTTTTACTTTACAAAAAAAAAAAATGAAATACATAATAAATAAATAGCAAGTCGAGTTAGTTAAAAAAAAAAAATTAACCGATCCTGAGATACTATCGACTGGCCGTAATAACATTTTAATGTCGTTTCGTACGGCTTTGGCAACTTGTACATTGACTAGTTTATCGAGTAAGTCTATTAAAATATAGCGTATAAATATTTTAAAAAAAAAATGTAATACGTTTTAGTTTTTTAATGTACTTGTTCAGTCGGCAATTTCAACAAGATTATATAATATTAATTAATTTGAAAACTGTTGTTCTGTTCAACATTTCTGTTTATCATAATATATACTCAGTTTCAACGTGCCAAGTAGTTGAATTGCTAAGAACCCTTTTCTAAACAGTATTTATTTATTTTAAGTTATTCTTTTCATAATGATAATGATGGTAATAATTTGGAATGGTGTTGGATTGTTACAGGTGCGATATCCATGACATCTGACGACGAAGAAGACGAAGAAAACGGACCCATTCACGGTGAGAAACTACCGAGAAAGTTATCCAACACTTGTCGGCAGTGCGCGATGGGATTTCTTAGTTTCTCCGAACTGTCGGAACACAACAAGACTTGCGTGCTGCACACCGCGGCCGGCCACAACGACGCGGACGACTTCGACGACGGTGCTTGCGCAAAGCGTCTACGGGACGACACAGATGACATGGACGACATGGACGACGACGAGGACGCCGAAGAACAGGACGAGGACGACGACGAGGTGTACCACCGCCGCCGCGATTTCGGCGGTGCCAACTTGCCGGCGGATCTGAGGAACGGCCTGAGCAAGGCGCACGAGGAACAGCGCAGACAGCGCCAGGACGCCGAGAACAACAACCGGCGGTACGGCGGCCGCGGTCTGCCCGCGGAAGCCGACGTCGGGCTGTCCGCCGACGAGCCGGCCGCTTCCGTTTCCGGTTTCCCGTTCGGGTTCCACGCGGCCGCCGAACCCGCTCACCACCCGCCCGGCCACGTCACCCTGGAAGCGCTGCAGAACACCAAGGTGGCCGTCGCCCAATTCGCGGCCACCGCAATGGCCATCAACAACGGCGCCGCCAGCAACCCCAACGTTCTACAGGATCTGGCCGTAGTCAACTCCACGCTGTTCACGTTGCAACACCAGCAAATGATGCAACTCAGTCTCATACAACAGCTGCGTCAACAGCTGCAGATAAGCCGTCAGTGCGGCACCGGCGTCCAGGCCGACGAAAACGCGTTACTTGCGGCATCGCCGCCGCTGCCGACCAACAGCGTCGACGGAAACGACGAGTCAGCGGCCAACGACTTACCACTTTCGTTGTTAGCCATATCGCGAAACGGTGAGCTCCAGCAACACCCGCCGCCGCCGTCTTTGTCGCCGCCGCTGCCACCACCTCTCATGATGATACCGCGAGCTGTCGGTGACTGTGCCGTCACTCAAACGCCGCGCACGCCCAGCCGATCTCCGTCGCCTTCACTGTCGGCGTCACCACAGCCGCCGCCGTCACAAGCCATGTCCACAACGCCGCGACACGATTCCGTCACGCCGCCGCCCACGACACCCGTCGCACACGCGCTACAGGCCCTACCGGCCACCGCTGCCACCGCCACAGCCGCCGCCACCGTCACCTCCCCGTACTCGTCCGTCCCGACTTCGACGCCCATCGTGACTCACCACGACTTCATTCCGTCTTGTTCCGTGTCGTCGGCGTTCGCGTCGTCCATCATCACCAACCTGGACCCGCCGCCGTCGCCCAGTGAGCCCAACACGCTGGAGATGTTGCAGAGGCGCGCCCAGGAGGTGCTGGACAAAGCGAGCCAGGGCCTTTTGGCCAACAACCTGGCCGACGAACTGTCGTTCCGCAAGGGGTCGGGCAACGGCAAAGGCAGCTCGCTGTCGCCGTACGACGGCAAGTCCGGCAACGGCAGCGGTGGAGGCGGCAGCCGTGGCGAGAACTTCTACAAACACCGGTGCCGGTACTGCGGCAAGGTGTTCGGCAGCGACTCGGCCTTGCAGATACACATTAGATCGCACACGGGCGAACGGCCGTTCAAGTGCAACGTGTGCGGCAGCCGGTTCACGACCAAGGGCAACCTGAAAGTGCACTTCCAGAGACACACGTCCAAGTTCCCCAACGTAAAAATGAACCCACTGCCCGTGCCCGAACACTTGGACAAGGAGTTCCCGGCCCTCATGCCGCCGCACTTGAGCAACAGCCCTCACCATCACGGGCCAACGCAAATTCCGCCGTCGTCGGCCGTCTCGTCCCATCAGTTCTCCAGCGCCGCCGCGTCCTCGCCGACCTTCTCGTCGGCGCTGTCGCTGTTCCGGCCCAGCCACCATTTGCCGCAACAGTCGTCCGACAACGTCGTGTTGCCGTCTAACCTGCAGCAACACTTGGCCGCCGCCGCCGCCGACCCGTTGATGATGAACCACCACCACCAGCAGAGGCAACGCGCCTCGTCGCTGCAACGGTTCTTTCAGCTCAAACACGAACAGGAACAACCGGAAAACCTGAGCAAACCCGCGGCGTGTTCGTCGCGCGAGTCCTGTTCGCCGTCGTCCCCGCCGCTGTCCGACACCAGTACGGCGCGCAAGGACGACCGCGCGTCAGAGTTCAACGACGACGGGCCGGCCGACGTGGACTCGGCCGACGTGGACGAACGCCACCACAACGACATGGACGCCCAGACCGACGATTACAGTGTGGACACCAAGTATAGCGGAGAAGAAGAGCACGGGGCTTACAGTCCTACCAACACCGCCGACAGACTCCAGGAGCAACCGGAAAACCTGTCTAACAAAAGTAAGAATCGCATTCCTTAACTTGTCTCTTTCGAAGCTTCTCAGTTGCACACTTTTTCTTTATTCCTCACCTTATTCCACGCAATTCCAGCCAAATCGTCTATTCAATCGTTCTCAGCTCTAGCCCAAGTTCTAAACATTTGTCCTTCTCACATGACATCCACAATGAATATACTTCATTGGCACGCTGTGCAAATTCATTGGCTCTCTGTCTACACCAATTGGCTCCATTCTTTTTGACGTTTGTTGTACGATTACAGGTGCAAGAATGATGTCCAGCCCGCCTGTGATGACGTCCGACGAATCGTTTTCGCCTAGACCGACCTCTTCCGCTTCGAGGCATCACGGATCCCGTCCGAGTTCGCCTTTGATGATGAACCACAGCAGATATTCGCCACCGTGCGCTTTGGACCTGACGCCCAAGCAGTCGACCCAACCACTGCCTTCGGTCACTGCCAACCACATAATATCAGCTTATCTTCCTCCGACGTTTAGCGGCCTCATGGCCGGCGCTGCCGGCGGACCTGCAGCCGTGCTTTCCGGACAACACCCACCTTCTTTTGGACCATCGAGTAAGTCTGAAATTCGATTATCGACGAAATCACGTTTATCGCTTTTATAGTATCTAAATAATTGTTTTGTTAAATTTTATTCCATTACATTATGAAACAACAGCCGGGTATAGGCTGATAAATAATTGCACGCACTTTTTTTGGCACCGTGACAAGAGCTCGGTAGTATGAAAAACGCGCGTCGCATTCATCACCGGCTGAATTCCTCGCGGTATATATCTTATCATCGCATTATTGTCTGGTAAAACGCATTGACATTTAAGAAACAGTTGAAATGTTCATCGGCGTCGTTAGGCGCGTTATATTTAGACACGGTACGCGCATCGTTCTGTCACTATTATTTTTTGTTGACCAAATCAATAGAATCCGGAGTATTTATTTTTCAACATGTTGCCCGTGCAAAAATAATATAATACCCTTTTTTTTTTTTTTGTTTCCATTCCGCATATTTTCCGTCCGCCTCGAGACGATGATTATAACACCGTCAAGTTTATAATTACTCCAGTCCACCGCCGCCAATTTCGCACATACCGAGGTTATATTTTTAAACAAGCATTGGGACCAAAAAAACAAATCTCAAGACGGTTGGACCGATGAGAGACATTGATGATTGGCACATAAGTGACCAAGTCAGAGTCGCTAAGGAAGTTCAGACCTTATGAAAACTCTGAAAGCTCTGGTCCTTGAATTTTGAGATTCTGAGATTCCTCAACGCGTGGTGACTTAAGATAAATATTTGTCGGCTGTATTTTCATAACGCGAGTTGTGACTTGTACGGGAGATTAAAAATAAAACCTTTCCCGTTTCTTGTATTCATCATGCTTAGCGCGTATCATCTTTTAGTGTGCCGTCTTACTGTTTTGGAATAATTATATTTCGTTGTTTACCAAACCGTGGCGCGACCAGATGTTCTCGGAGGAGTCCTTAGAGCCGTGCACGGTATTGGACGCGACCAAATGAAAAATAAGCACATTAACAGATTAATAAGACAAGTTAATAGCGTCTGACATTCCGGACCTTTTCGTTTTGTGGGGAATCTTGACGCGCCACGTTGTCACTTATGATATAAACTTAATGGGAATATCATTTTCGTGGATTCACTAACAGACCAAGGAACGAGACGCTAAGTTCTGGAACTGCAATTTCCCATTACGATTTTTCTATTCTACACAAACTAGTCGAGGAGGGGTTGGCAGTATCTGACAGTGACAATTTTGCAAAAATTATTCCAGGAGAATTCCTGAGCTGTTGCAGGACAACTACAGCCGGATTATGAATAAAAAATGATTCCCCCTCCCCCAAGAAGTATCGTTAGTTAATGGCTTTTTTTTTTGGTGTGGAAACCGCAAAATGCAGCTCTGTTATAGTTTGTTATTTTTATCCCTGCTGCCGGTTAGGTCTGAGCGCTCGCAAATTCAACCATTGATTTACGACTCTGATATTATTTCCGGCGTTTTTAGGATTTTTATGAAATATTATATCCATTTAACGTGTGTCTGTGTGTTTTTAGCGGCCCGAGGCAACACCACGTGCAACATCTGTTTCAAAACGTTCGCGTGCCACTCGGCTCTGGAGATCCACTACAGGAGTCACACCAAGGAGAGGCCCTTCAAGTGTACCGTGTGCGACAGAGGATTTTCGACAAAGGTACGACCCCAGCTTAAATGCTGATAAAATATGATATTATTTGTAGTGTTTACTCTCATTTGTTGTCGTTACTATCCTTGGCCAACAATATTACAATAAAAAAATGTGCAATTACCAATTGGCTGTTGTTTGACTCTCACACGAAAACCTAGAAATACATTCATAACGGTCAAAGTGCGATTCCCCCTAAAGGCTTTTTAGAACATTTCATTTGGTCCCACACTGGAGCTAATTTTCACGTCTATAGTTCTTAAAAATTTGCTGGAAAAAGAGGAACATGAAGAATATTCCACAGGGCTTCTGGTATCCAAACTCTCTGGACAAACATCTGGACCAGCTTCGGTGGTTTTCATTTGTCAATTGCACAACGGTTTTGGATTAGATACAGGCAGATACAACTGTAGTTAGTAATAGCTGTTGTACCATTGTATAACACACCGTGTATTTTGAGTATTATTTTGTGATGTGTACTTAACCGCGGCCGACAAACGGGTTTTGTGCATTATTATCAACAATGTACAAACGTCTACGAGAAGTGTATTTTTGCAATTGTCATACCTAGTGGTCGTGTGTAAGACATGACAAATTGCAATTCGCTCCTATTCTCCCAAAATCGTATTCACCATTTTCACGTGTTTGTTTACACTTGAGCGAGTATTTTTTATTATTTTTTTTTTCCACATCCGAACCGTGTTCGAAAATTGAACGGTAGTGACGCGGATTAATTCTCTTAAGTATCCAGTCGTTTTTTTTTCTTCCATTCATGTCATACATTCTATATTAGGTACATATTTTATATATTTTCTTGCAAACCGACGACGGTTTTTTTTTTTGTTTGTCTTACTCTTATTAATTTTCTCTTTTTCCTCCTCACTCCTGTATACCTATGAGGTGTTTTTTTTCCATTATGTTCTTTCCCAACGTGTGCATGCGTTTCGCTGCGATGCGCATTCGGTGTACCCAAACACAACGTATCCTACGGAAAGAGATGTGCCACTTCCATTTATTATTAATTGTCTGTGTAGAGTGGTGCGGGGCACATGTATATTTACACATTCAACCGACACGGCATCGTCGAAATGACGGATTTCGATGTTGACTTATACACATCATCATATTATACACGGAAATGAATTTTTTTTTTTATTCCTATATATATTTTTCGATCGAAAACAATAAAATGTGTCACGGTTTTGATGCGTGATTGGATTTTTCGGAGCCGGATTCACGGTGTTTAAACCTTTATATTATTTTTTTCCATACACCTACTATTATATTGTTATTACTATTATTATTATTTTCGTTAAACGTTCACGTACGCACCGCGGATACGTACCTAATGTGCATATACAACGACCGTTGTATAATATGCGCATTATCGTTATATTGTTCATAGTCTATCCGATTCGATAAACCGTGTATTGCTAGTCTTCTTCTTTGTTTTTTGTTTTTGCCGGTTAGGTTTTGTCGCGTTTTTATCAAAATGGTTCAGCCACCTCAATTATATACACGCCATCGCTTGTAATCACTTTGAATTAAACATCACACCTGAGGCATCTAAAAAACCACCACAAGATGAATTCATAACTTTCAGCTAAGTTAGGTTAGGTTAGGTTAGGTTGGGTTTAACTTTGGATTGGTTGCATATTTTGTTTAGGTTAGGTTAGCAGGTTGAGTTTTCTTTGACCAACCTTATCTTTTCTTTTGTAGAATGCTTTTCCAGATAAGTTTTATAATTTTTTTCAAGTGAAATTGTACGATAATAACAGTTATTTTTAATTTCCCAAAAGTTGAACGGTTCTGGACTAATCCCCTTTCGGAAATAATCGATTCAATTGCATTAGTTGAAGTTGGAAAATTTGGAAGTTGTGTCATAAAAGTGATAGCTTGATATGCGGTTTGGACTTGAAAGAAGGTAGGCCAAGTGAAATGTTAGGAGAGAAGGGTTACAGAGGCTAAGTGAGAGTTGGTGGATGTAGCTGGAAGAAGAGAAGCATAACATCCATCTCATTATGTACAAAACTTGAGGATACATCCAAAGCTAAACTTAAGTCGTCCCATGCAATGTGTGTCATTAAGTAATATTTGGCTCATAGAATTTCAGTATGAATTCTGCACGTGTTGCAGGGTAATATGAAACAGCACATGTTAACGCATAAGACACGAGACATGACGTCAGGCGGCGGCGGCGGTGGCTGTGGCGGCGGCGGCAGTTCCAGCGGCGCGTACGACGTCAACTCGACCAGTTGCGGCCACGACGACACGGCCAGCAACACCAGTTCGGAAAGCCGAGACACCCAACACCAGCAGCAGCAGCAACAACAACAACAACAACAGCAGCAGATGATGTTGCTCTCGGCAGCGGCCGCCGCAGCCGCAGCCGCAGCAGCCGCGGCCGCAGTCAGCCACGCTCCGGCACCGGTGCCGCCGTCCAACTGCGCCGCGGTCCGATGTCCGCCACCGTCGCACAACTCCGCGGCCACCGGCACAGTGTCCACGGTGTCTCTGGCCAACGCGTCCACCTGCACCCCGGCCAACGGCCTGCCCCTGACCGTGGCCGTTCCGGCCGTGCCACCGCCAAAACCGACGGCCGTCCCGCCGCCCCCGATGCCTCCCTCGTCGTCTTTGCCGGCCGCCAACCCGCCGAGCGGCCAACACAACAACAACAGCTCCAACAACAACAACAACATCAACAACAACAACAACAACGTGAGCAACAACCGCAAGGACAAGTGTTTGTCGCTGTCACCCAAGCGCTCGCTACCCGACCCGGACGTTGGCCTGCCAGCACCCAAAAGACAACCCAGTAAGTACCCAAACTTCCATGCTTGATATAGGTGAAATTTAAAGGCAAATCGGGTGTGCTTACCATACTTGGTTTTTAAACTAGCAACCCCAAAATTGCCTGTGTTTCGTTCCATATATACAGTAATTATTTCAGTTGACTTTGAACTCGAGTTTTCTGACAGTGTAGTCAACCGATAAAAACAAAATATCCTCATTTAGTCCAATGTCACCCTTCCGTCCAAAAAGCCACCCGAAAAAGTGAGAAGTTGGGATTTTCTACTGGAACTTCCAAAATTTTAAATAAATACCCCCTTGGTCGTATTTTAAATGTTTGAAAGCTGATCATTTAGTTCTTCGTCACACCTTGATTTCTGTTTTACCTTTGAAGATAACTAAACGCGAGTTTAATCCACAGGTTCGCCCAAGCACTTGTGTCACGTGTGCAATAAGAATTTCTCCTCGTCGTCGGCCTTGCAAATACACATGCGGACCCACACGGGCGACAAACCGTTTCGCTGCACCGTGTGCCTGAAAGCGTTCACTACCAAAGGAAATCTCAAGGTAACCAAATGAAAAGCTTAAGAGCAGAGTCCGCCTCCGGAGCTCGACGAATTTGCACGATATGTAACCGGTGTTTTTTTTACTTTTCTCAGGTTCATATGGGTACGCACATGTGGACTAACGGCACTTCGAGGAGAGGCCGGAGAATGTCGTTGGAATTACCACCGACGATGCAGATTCCCAACAACTCCAACGTGAAAGAGTCGGATTTCCTGCAGAGGAGACCGGACATTTACTACCATCCGTTTTTGCCCAGTCCGTTCTTGAACGGCATTCATCAGCAAAAGGTAAACTATCATTTAGATTAGGAGGGGAGTGCAGTTTGTGGTAGTTTGGGGGCTGTGACGCGAGGGAGAGAGAGACACTAAAAAGTTTAAGACATCACCAGTAAGAAGGAAATTCCCAAGGATCATCAATGAATACTCAATCCGTTGTTAATTTAGAATCCAAAATAGAGGAATTCTTAAAGATGACAGGGAATCGGATATGTATGACTATAAGACAGCGGAGAGATTGAGATCAGATCAGGTCGAGTCAGGAATGGAACGAGGCGTGAGTCAGCCAACTTAATCATATTCGGTTAAGGTTCAGAGGCATTGTGTGGATTTTGTGTCTTATTTTTCGTTTAAGACTTTCGAACGATTGTGTTAAATGCCATTTTATTTTTTCTCTTGCCTATAGATTAACGAGATATCGGTCATACAAAACGTCAACAGTAACGTTAACAATCGTATCTTGAGCGGATTCGGTAATTTCGGAGGCGGCGGGACTTTCCCGGGCGACATCTTGGGGAAAACCGGCGACTCCGGTGCGACCAGAGAAAAACAAAATATGTCGCCGCCTTCGCATCATCAACAGCAACCGCAGCAGCAGCAACTCCACCATCACATGAGAACGCCGCCGCTGTGGGACCTGCACTACGACCGGCAGGCGACGGCGGTCAACATGAAATCCACCGATGACCATCAGCTCAACAATTGCGCCTCGCAGTCGCCACAACCGCCGGCCATGACCAACCACGGTAACCACATCAGCCAGAACCGCACCGAGGGGTTGGCCACATAACGTTTACTCGAGTATTTGCGTTTTAATCGATAAAACTCAAATGGATCTCTTTGGTACGGACCGCGGCTATAAACAAGAGGTGGTCACAGTGGAAAACAGTCTGAAAACAAAATGGCGTCAGGCCGAAATCATAATAATATTGGCAGTGTCGCCAACTTATTTTTCGGATCGCTCGAGTTTTTATTAACCGGCCTACTCGATTATGTTTTTTTTTAAATTATTATTACTTAATTTCTTACTTCATGTCTATTTAGTCAGATTTATAGTTTTCATATATATATATATATTTGTAATTTTTTTTTGTATTACCTAGCTCTACACTCAAACGACGTCCGCACAAATCCTATTTAGCAAGTAGTGTTTTTTTGTACATAAACATAGCCTGTTAGAGACGTGTTACCTCGTTTTTGTAACCATAATATTATTTATATCGATATCTCGGTATTTCCCACACACCGACGGTGTTCCCCCTCTCCCCCTCGTAATTGATTATCATCGGTGTGTTTACTACTTATAGGTATATTATTATATAATTATTATTCTACCTTATTATTATTCAATTCGATTTGACATTTGTGTAAGATTATCTCTCTTTGTACAAACAAATTATTTCTACAGCGTTTAGCTAATCGTTTTTTTTCTTCTCTGTAAAAAAACATTAAAAATGCGGTTATCATTTTTTTTTTTTTGAATTTTTATATTAGCTATTATTATCTATTTATATATCGCGTGTAAATATGAATATTATTATTATTATTATCGAGTTACAATATTATTATAAACGTAATGCGCACGTTGTGTAAGTATAGTTTTTTTTTACAAAGATTCTCTTAAAAAACTACACTATTTGAAAATTCCGTACAACCATAAATCGTATTCAAAGTGTGTTGTGTTTTATAAAAAAAATATGATTATTACACAATAATATCATTATAATAATTTTTACACTACTTAACCAAACTCGTGTACGTTAGCGGATTAGTTAAATCACTATATTATTATTATTGTAATTATTGTAATTATTAATATTATTATTATTATTAAAATAATATTATATCCTTCGATGAATGTTCCTAAATTTACTAGTCCGAAAAAAAAATTTTAAAACAAAAATATATATATTTATATATAATAAAAAAATATATATTGTGTATCTTATACATATTATATTATTGTAATATTTATCGACTTTTTTTTTTTTTTTGTATAAATTATCATAACCTATATTATTACTACGGCGGTATTGTATTGATGTTGTTTATGTACTTAAAAATTCGTACAAAAAAAACAAAAACAATGAGAGTACTTAGAAAAATAAAATTATGTTGTTTGTCTCAGCTGTTGTTTGACGGATTTGCAATATTTCTATGTGAAAATAAATATAAATAAGAACAATAATTGTATTATATTCGAAAAACTTGAATTCTGATCATCATTATTGAAAAAATATAATATTATTATGTCTCGTCCACACTAAGACAAAAAAACTCAAAAGAAAATGTTCTCGTTCCAATCTAAAGCATCTCACGATATTTTTGGTATTATTACTGAAATATTAAAAAAAAAAAAAAAAACTCAAATTTTTTAGCTATTATTTTACATTTTTTCTCTAAAAAACGACAAATTTAAGCATTTATTCGTTATTTTTTCACACATTTTTATTATTATTGTCATTATCATTATTATATTATTATTACTATTTTTATTATGATTATTGAATAGTTTTTATTATTATTATTATTATTATTGATATTATTTGTATTTTAATTATGACTATTATTAGTATTACTATTACAACTCATTTGCAATATACATTTTAATTGGTTTTTCAATAGAAACATACAATATTATAATTATTTTGAGTTTTTCTGTGATAACTGAACTCACACTTCTGACGAGGTAAAAAGGGAGTGAAAAAATATATTATTATATTATATTTTGTAAATACATGATTGATAATACAATTCATATAATTATTATAAATTTTTTTTTTTTTTAGTTGTTTAAGTACCTCATATTTTGTATGTATTTTGTGCTTAACCAACACGTAACTGTTTCTATTCAATTTGTACATATTATTATTATATGTTAACGATATGATATACAAATAATAAAATATTATACTTATTGCGTAACTTATGTATATATATAAATATATAATATCTTATCGTGTATTGATACATTTTATAGTCCATTTAAAAAGGTTTTGTGAACCAACATAGTATACACATAAAAAAAAAGAAAGATGTACTAGATTTTTTTTTTTTTAGCAAGTAAGATTGTATTGTTTCAACATAATAATATATACCAACGTAAAAATATGTCAACCGCATTTCTCTTTACATTACTTGTGAAAAAAAAATATATAAATATTATAATAAAGACAATTATTATAAAAAGTATAGTTCGAGTTGTGGTTTTTTTGTCAAGATAAATTGTATGATTAGATGTCTAAAAACGGTGTGTCTTCCTTATCTAAAAAATAACATATAATTAACCAAAATCCACCGCATAAAATTACAGCATTTTTTTTTATAAAAAAAAAAACATAAAATCTTTTGTCTAATTAATTTCAAACTTAGATGAGATATTCATTAGTTGTGTATAGTCTATCGACAAACACACTTACAAACCAAAAAAAGTAACACACTCCCCCTTTACCCCAAAAGTGTTTGAAACTTGTCTTTAAGTCACCCGGTTTAGTCTTAGGTACAGAGGTCTGAAAAAGTCTTGAAAAGGGTAGATCTAGAGTGAAGCTATAACATGTAAAATTTTCTTAAAAATCATCACATCTCATAATAGCTTAATTTTTATTTTTTTCTTAAACCATAACAGACAGAATGTCGAAACTAAGCTCATTAGAAATAATTTGTCGAGAAAATACAAACAAATATGACGAACTATAAAAAACTAAAAGAAAAATATTTAATTTTTTTTTTTGAATTGCCAATTTGATCAATTTTAGCTAAATTTGTTATTTAGGGTCTCAATCAGTCACTTTGATATGCAGAAGTGCAGTGAAGAGTCTTAGAACTTTTAAATTGTAGATCATAAAAACAAATTTCTTTTCCTAAACGTATAGATATTTTTTAAATAAATTTATTTAAATTTAATTAATATTTAAATAATTCAACACAAATTAAAAACCTAACCTAACCTCGGCTTGACAAGCATTTTTAGTTTGTTATATTTATTTGAAAAATACAATAAGCATATCACAAGCCATAAATATACTATCTTATTATTAATTAGCAATTGAACCTTATAAGGGATTTTTTTTGCATGGTGGTTTGATAAGTATGACTTTTGTAGTTTGTTCAATGAAGTATTGGCAAGTATCCACCACTGCATAGCTTATAAATATTTAAACCTTATATATTGACTTAATCGGTTACCCGTCAAGTTATAATTGATTTATATCTCCAATAATAGAACCAACCAAAATAAAACAATTTTTTAAGACAACTAAATTTGTGTTCACCTGCGTGTAATCTAAATAATTATTTAGGAAAAATAAAATATCATATAAAAGGTATTCGAATAGAAAAAGAAAACTGATGATCGTTTAATTTGTTCTCAGTACATTTTATATAAAGAGTTAAAAATAAGTTGTTATGTTAATTCTGTGAAATAATCGAAGGGATAATTTGGTTATTATTATTGTTGTGACAAAGTAGATTAGTAAAAATTAACACAGAGTTGAGAAAATTACTAATGATGTGCTTTTTTTTTGGTTTCCGGAACCAATAGTATACCTTCTAAAGGCTGAATCGATTTCTGCATGTAGTCTATGTACACCAGCGCAATGGTACTCGATGGATACTTGAATGGGCCAAACGATTAACGAGTTCACCCCTCCAACCTCTAAAAAAATCAGTCTTGTGGTATGTACCAAGTGTAGTTTTAGAGTTTAAGATATTAAAAATTATACTGAAGGTGGGTTAGGTCAGGTCTAGAGTGAGACTATAACATTTGTTCTCAGAAATTCGTTGTCGAGACTTTATTTTTTTACTAAGACCCCCCTCCCCATAAAAAAGGCAAAAATCCCACTCACTCGCTTAGGTTTTTAAATCAACTTTGCGTTATCGGTTATTCAAAAACAGTAATCGGTGGCGCTATCCAGCGCCGGTTGATCCAACGTTTCTACAAAAGAACCGAACGGTAGATGTCGCTCTTGGCATCAACCGTTTCCTTTAAAATCTTATTTTATTACAAAACCTTAAAATATTTTAACCACCTCGCAATTTTATTAATGTACTCAAGTTTTGTCGATTTTTCTTTCCTCCAAAATTACAATATTATTTTTACAACACACTTTTCCATATTGTACATTTAATTTTTTTTGGCAAAAAAGTACTCTTATGGATTGGCACCAGTTTTTCTACTGATTTTGTTTTCATAAATTTGAGGAATCATCTTTTATCAAGACTGCAGATAGACTAATCCCGCAACTCGAAATGTTTTTAAGTATTCGAAAAATATCCCTAATACTCACTACTCTTAACTAAAATAATACTTTAGAAATCATTTGCATTTCAAATTGGTTTCTGAATTGTATTACTACATTTTCACACCTGAAACTCTTTTAAAATGCAATTTACTTATTCAAAGTACACTAATCAGTCATTCTAAATTCACCAAAAAAAGCCATAATTATGTAAATATGTTTTTTGAAAAAAACTTATACTCATACAACAAGTATAAACACAATGATGCGCAACGATGAACATTTTAAAAACTAGTAGGCATAGTTATTTTAAGAATGTGACAAGAATCTTATATATTTCGAATTTGTCTGACTGTCTGAACACAATTAAATTTAAAAAATATTAAATATTACATATTAAATGAGTGCGAGCAAATGATCTCGTATTTAAAATTAGCTTACACATAAACAATCTGGTTCTGGATTTATTTATTAATTATTATATTTGAGATTTTTTGCTGTTTTTAAACTATAAATTACTTATAATGTTGACTTTTATCATACTCGAATCATACTTTAATGAGTAAATGTCTAGTAGTAACATTTTTACACACTGTACTAAACAATATGCATATCTAAAAATATATTTTTAACTACATCATTCGCAAAATCGCAAAAATGTATTTTTAAAAATATTATATAATAATAATATTACCTGTAACTATTGTCAAAACGAGAAACAATAGTACTAATAACATTCTGGTAATATTGCTTTTAAATGACATACTTAAAAACCGCGACAGCTAACGGAAAACAAAATTTTAATTTTATATTAACACTGAAACGTTATGCTAAGTTTTATTATAAGTCAACTGCGGCTTGGGAATGTTTAAGAAATACAAAAAACGGTATAGTATTTATCGGTTTCCAGTGAAATCCAACACAAAAATATTATTTATTTATGAAAAATCAACAGCATATTTTGTATTTTTTGTTTTTGAACCAAACCTACGTCGAAAACAAGAAACAGGCCTTTAAGTCGAAAACAAGTCTTATTCTATTGTATCCAATATTTGGTTTTCATGACTAAATCTGTGTATCACATTCAGTGAAATCCTCCACTAAAATATTTGTTTTTTTAGCTATGGTAAAACACCTGTAAAATTATTACTTTTTAATTATTCTTTAATATTATATGTCCTATTTTTTCTATATAATTCAGCAACAGCATAGCTGTTACATTATTCATTCTATTTTATAAATATATATTCTAATCAAAACGTTTCACATTATGTATTTCCTTTGTTTAATATAAGTGTTTTGTTTTATTTTACATGATTTTGAATGTATTTTTCAAAATGGATTTAATAATATACTTTTTTGGGTGACTAGTGACCACATGTTTATTAATATTACAAATTTTCAAGTTTCTAATGTTGTACTTTAACATAAATACAAATGTTTTCAATAAGAAATACAAAAATATTGCAATGATTTTATTAGTAAACTAGTCGGGGGCGTTAAAAAGACATTCTTAATTGAATAACTTTCTTAATTAGTTGTTTTCACTGAAAAAAACGGATTTCATTTGTCCTATATTTATTTTACAAGGGATTTTCTTCAATTCACAAACAAATATGTTTGCCAAAGATATAATTTTAATGCGAGAGGTTG